CTCTCTCTCTCTCTCTCTCTCTCTCTCTCTCTCATCATCTTCAGGACATGATGGTGGACGAGAATCTACTGAAGCTGGAGATCAGGAAGCTGACGCAGATGCTGAACTCTCGCTCTGGAGAGGTCACGACCTTAGAGAGGCGCCACCTGGAGCTGGAAACGGTAAGCTTGCACGGCGTCCGCGCTGACGGAGTCACGGCTAACTATGATGATGTAAAACAACATCCAATGGTAAGCAATGAATAAGAATAGCAATAATAATAACAACAACAGGAGTAAATAAAAACTAATTTTAATAAAAAAAAAATTATTTTTTTATGTTCACTTCTGATAACAATCGTAATAAAATAATTATCAGTAGAATTATTCATGCAAATGGTTTTACAGCTTTTGTGATTTTTATAAAGTTATATCCAAGTGTGCTTACTAAAATTGAATTTGTACTTAAGCCTGGCATTTTGCTTAAAAATCAGTAAGTTGATTCAAAGAAGACTCCATCACGTCGATAATTAACTAATCAAGACCCATTGCTCGATAGTTGACTCATTCTATCATTTGCAAAAAAGACTTCATCACTCGACATGTGTCAACGTCTAATAGATCTAATGAACCGCAAATGAAAAGTTTGTGAATGAGGGTAATGATTATTGGTTGGTGTGCTGCGATGACAGGCAATGAGGGAGCGAAGGCAGGACGTAGCCGTACACAGAGACATGTTGAGAGCACAGCTGAAAGCAGCTAGTGACGAGAAGGCAACGCTGAGCACAGAACTACATGAGCGATTCTCCAAGATAGACAAGCTCCGAAAACGGTAACTGCCCCGCCAGGATCATGTATATTATCATTATTCTCCTTCTCATGATTCTTCTTCTCCTTCTTCTTCTTCCCCTCCTCCATTGCCTTCTCCTCTCTGTCTCTTTCTTCTCCTCCTGTTGTTTCTTCTCCCTTTCTCACTGTTTCACCTTCTCATTCCTTTCCTTCTTTTTCTTCTTCTTCTTTTGTAGGAGCCATCATGTCTGGGTTTATCGATGGCTGTACATATTCAATGACGATGCATTCCTGCCAAGATTACATGGCATTTTATGTAAATAACCTGATATATATATTCGATTCTCGTTTAGGTATGAGATACTCATAATATCGATGGCACCCCCTGAGGGCGAGGAGGAAAAGTCCGAGGCCTACTACGTCATCAAGGTCATTACCCAAGTATTCACATGCATGTAGAACAACACATTGTATATTTCTATTAGCACGGACTATAGTTAGTTAATAATAATAATAATAATAATAATTAGTTATAATTATATAAAAGTTTTAGTAAACAAATTAAATACACTTATAGATTGTGTGCTACTGAAGACTACAGCATACAGGCACTCAGTAAAATAGAGTTCAGTGCACCTAGACAAACCTCTTAATCTTTCTCGAAAAACCCAGATGCCTGTGACATTCCCGTGTTAGTGCTTGATTGACAACTGGCATGTGTGATGTTGTAGGCAGCTCAGGAGAAGGAGGAGCTGCAGAGGACGGGAGATGAGCTGGATGCACAGATAAGGAAGGCAGAGAGGGAGATGAAAGCCCTAGAGAACACATGCAGACTGATGAACTCTCACAACGAGGCTTACCGAAAGACCTTCCACCGGGTCACGGAGAATAGTGAGTTATCTGCAGCGTTTCCCACAGAACGACGATATATAATATACAGTGAACTCTCCAAATTCTGAACAACCCCAAAACCGAATTTCACGTAAAACCAAACGACTTTTTAACTCCCAACACCATCTGAGAAATTTAGAATATTCCTATAGCCACCTATAAACCGAACTTCACAGAAAACCAAATTAAAGGGACAGTCCCAAGGGTGGTGGTATTGGGAGAGTTGACTGTAGTAGATTATCTATTGTTTAGCCATTCAGCAGTCACAGAGTATAGAGAAAATCTAATATCTCTTGGAGAGTAACTGAGGATACTACATGTCATATAGTATTTCCTCCAAGGAGGATGTTGTAAGACATAGCATGCCTTCTACTGAGTTGAAGAGCAGATCAAATCATAAACTGTTATTTTTCTACGGTAGTAATTAACTTACAGAGTATATAGCAGCTAAATAAACAAACATTTCGGGCACAAGTCACGGTGGTTCTCGTAGGTGAGTATCGTTGCTGACACCTGTCGTGACTGCTTGCAGGCAACGAGCAGAGAGAGACGGATAAGCTGAATGAGCAACTACGAGCCGTCACTGACAACTACAAGTTCAAGCGCTGTCAAGTGCGAGAGCGCGCCGAGGATGTGACGGTGAGGGGTGCGGACCTACAGCTTCCACTGATGCGGACCTACAGCTTCCACTGATGCTGCATTCAGCAGTTGTAGTCTTGCAGGGAGGTTAGCTCTGACCATATATGTGTCGCCCTAGTCAGGGGCGGAGCTACGGGGGGGCCTGGGGGGGCAAGTCCCGCCCCCACAAATTTTCTGTGCCCCCCAGGTGCCCCCCCCACTGAAAATTCATGCTTGATAAAAAAAAATTGATAAAAACAATGCGCCGTTAGAACAGTATAATACAAAGAAAAGTTTATATATTGTGCCCCGACGAAAATGTAAGGCCCCCCAGTGCCCCCCCCCCGCTGAAAAAATCCTTAGCTACGCCACTGGCCCTAGTCCCATCACATATCCACTAACTTACCTAATTTGTTTAGAGCTATAATATACTCTAACCTAGAGTATATTATAGCTCTAAACAAATTAGGTAAGTTAGTGGATATGTGACGGTGAGGGTATGTACGACAGCAATACAGCCTCTACTGATTTACTCTGAATTCTGCTCATTTGCGACACACGCGTCTCTTGGTGTGGGCCTTACCATTGGGTTTTCGTGTTTGTGTAGACAATGCAAAAAACTTTAGACAATCTCAACCAGACGGATCGATTCACCAAGGAAGTTATGGCAGAAAAAGATCAGAAATTGGCAGCACTCCAACAAGAGATCGGGGAACAAAAAGCAAAGCTATCGCGAGTCGATAAACAGGTATATATCTTCCGGTATAGTTCTAATCAGGTAGAAAAGTACGAATACTATTCAAATATCACCACACACCAGTGAAACGCGAACATAACATGCTCACCTGTTAAACTAGTCTTCCATGGTTACTATTACAGAACGCCAAGTACTCAAAGGATTTGCGTGCGAGTAAGAAGACGAAAGGAGAGACGCTTGAAGAGGTAGAAATTCATTTGACTAATTAATTTGCTATCCGGCAGGTCGTTTCCACCACCTCGCTACATTCCATGTACTCTTCATTACGTGTTAACTTTGACATAACCCAATCCGATTACACCATTTATAGCGTGCCATCCTGCATCAGGCAGGGTTTTTAGACTTGATCCCAATAATTTGTTTCTGCAAAAACGATCAGTAGCCCATCTAACCCGGTGGTGGTGCAACTTGGTAGGTTATGCGAACCAAACGGCCAATCTCACCACAGAGGTCACGTGACTATCTGCTTTTGATTGTTAAATTGCGCTGCCAAAACAAACAAGTGAGCAATTTTCATCTCTGTGGTGAGATCGCCAAACGGCTACACTTTCTCATCATAAAAGCCGTTTTATTGATGTAATTTCTTATGAGTTTTGCAGAAAGACTTTGAGGTGCGAGATATGAGGGAGACGTTTAAGAACGCGATGAGAACGCTGGGCGATGTGATGGCTGAGCATCCAGAGATAGTAGATGATGTCAACACACACTTCTCACAGGTAAAGAGTACGGTCATGAAAAAAATTACATATAAATTATTTTATTTTATAAATATTACATTGCATATCATTACATATTATCAAGAGTAGATAATAGGAGATTATTTGATTTACTCTTGATATCATACATATTCATGCCATAGCGATAAGTTAAGAATTTTGTTAACAAATCGTATATTAAGTTCAGGCTCTATTACTCTATACTGACATACAATTAATCCTAGTATAACATTTCATTGCATTCAATAAGGTATTTACTCCCCCTAGTTGTTTCCATTTTAAATCTGTTTCATTTGTCAGTTTTCACTATGTACTATGGCTATCACAATACTGTTCTTACAATCAAAAAGTCTAAATTGGATCAGATTGAATAACATACAGGTAACAGAATACTCACCCTATAGTCAGTCTTGCTGCATATTTCACTGCACACATTAACATTTTGTAAGCTCGTGGTAATTTGTGTGCATATCATTTAATTGTTTCTACAATATTTGTTGTTTGTATAATTTGTTTGTGTTTGTTTGCTGGCTTTACTATGTGCTGATCTGTCGCGCTGCAGGCTGGCCTGCCACCACCATCCGATGCTTCATGCAGCACACCAGGGAGTCGCACGACATCACGCGGATCCCTGCCAGGCAGCAGGCCCGCGTCCGTGCGCAGCTCTCTGAGTGGCGCCCCCTCAGTGCGCAGTCCCATGGGCGCGCGGACGTCCATGTCGTCTGCCGTCGTCAGCCCCACGACACTGACCCTCGATGTTGGCTCGTCAAGTACGTTCTCTTGTTTATAGCTCCCATTGTTTCATTAATAATACCATTATATATATATATATATATATATACACACATATATATGTGTATGTGTGTATATTGTTGCTCACACGCGTAACTCTTGCTATCTTGCTGCAGGTTCGCCACCTGGCGGTGCTGCGAGTGTGGGCAGGCGCGCGTCACGAAGCTCGAGTGTGCAGAGTGGCTCTGGCAGCCTGCGTAGCGGCAACAGCTCGGGAAGTCTCCACAGCAGGAAGAGTACGGGAAGCGCCCGTAGCTCCAAGTCCAAGCACTGACGACGCACGCGTTAGGGGGCGTCGCTTCCTCCCCGCGCCGAGGCGGGGGTGCGAAAGAACCGTGGATATATACGTCGATGCGATAGGCTTAGCTTCTAATTATTTACGATGGTGTTGCTTACCAGTGCTTAGATGCAAGGTTCGACGATATAGCTATGCTGCGAATATACAGTGCATTTTGCAAACACCACTGATGAGACATATTCTCTCCTGCTCGCACCCTGAAGGTAGCAACACTTGTAGCAAACTGAAATCACAGCGTGAATCTGAATTTGGCTAGTTTTTGTTAGCTTGTTGGTCATTGATTCCGCAGTAACACCAGTGTGCGAATTGTATGGCACGCACGCACGCACACGCAGGTATGAACTCGTGTGATGTTACAATTATTTCAGAGTGGCGAGATGGTTGGTTCACTCACATTTCAAAATATTCATTCATATGTATTCCTTACTGACGTCATCATTTATTGTGTAAAACAATAGTCTCATGTGTATTCTATAATAGCTGTGACAGCAGAACAAATTTATGGTTTAAGTAGACAATTTTTAAGAATTTACAATATCTTCTGTATTCAGTAGTACCAAGTATTGATGCAGATGCTAACAATTAACCTATATAGTTTCTATTAACCTTAGTTATAATGTAGTGTGTTCACATGTATATTTATTATTCCATTATTATATATTTAAAACATCATCATCTATGGCATATGCGGCATATCTTTTATATTTTATTACACACCTTATGAATAAATTTTGACATGTTGGATGAACACTAACAACGTTTTCAAATCGTAAATATAGTACATTGTTAAGTTCATTTCTTTTAAATATATATAATAAAAGCTCATTTAATGTAGAAAAACGCGACTGCAAGCTAGTAATATCACACCAACCTTTCACACCATAAGTGCTGCAGTTAAGTCAATCGTCTCAATATGTTAGTGAACGTACCTACAAGTTATCGATGTCCAATATATTGTCATATATCCTTATCCATGAGATGTATGAGATCTATGAGATTATATATTATGTCCATGAGTATGTGATACTTGGTT